ATGTGCAATAAAGCCAATCTATTGACGCCGGGTTGTGGTGAAGGAAAATGCAGCATTTATTGTAAAGGAGGCTCACTCGTGCTCTAAACCCGAACTCCCTGCTGAGGGTTTCACCAAAGCATTTTTAAAGGCCAGGTGAGTGAGGGGAAGGTATGTGATCAGCACGTGCTTAATTCTCTGGTGAGGTAACAAGGCGGTGTCACAGGGATTAACGTTATCAGTCCTTGGTGGAAGTAGCTAACATCTTCCATTTGGTGGGGGTTTTCACATTCCATAAAATGACTCAGGAAATGTGCATCAGATCAGTACTAAGATCTAGGTACTTCTGGGGAGCTAAAGCAGAGGATATGCAGGAAGGGTGTGCTGGGAAAAGCCCTGTAGGGTCCTGCTCGGTTACATGAGGGGTTTCCTATCACTTCTTCCCCTGCCCCTGACAATCCTCTCCTTTTTCACCACTCCACCTTGACTCTGGAAGTGTCAGGAACTATGGCCATGTAGTTCCATGGACAGGGGAGGAAGAGGAGAAGCAGAAAGGAAGCCAGTCTCCTCCCTAGCTCTAGAGAGCTAAACTGTAGCAGCTGTAGTTGTGTCTACATCCTCTCAGGAAGATGTTTGCTCTTAAACCAAGGTTGGCATTTTTATCATTATACCAAGCTGGGTATAAGTACTGAACTGAAATCTTAAATGTGACCTCTCCCTTTCTGCCTGAAAAACAGCTGCTTGTTTCCTGAGATGTGGCTCAACATTCACTTCCGAGTCTAACCTCTGCATCCAGAACTGATCATTCAGTCAGCGTCTCTGCCCCAGCGCAGCCCCGGAACATGGAATTTCACTTGTCTGGTTGTTTGCATCTCTTTGTTCTGAACCAATCTGTAAACTGTAAGAGGACAAGGAATAATTTATTCACCTCTGCACCACCAGCACCTAGAGCTCATTAGCACATAATTGTCTCCCAATAAAGATACATGAGTGAAAGTCATCTATCTTTAAGAACAAATTATGATTTTTCCTAAGAGAGGCTGTAATTCAAATGTGTCTTTATTTTTGAGAGAAATTAAAACCAGCAGACATCTGGACCATGCAGGGCAGGTAAAAGTACCTTTGTCACCAGTATGCTCAAGGGTGGCCAGGGTGCCCTGAGGGGTTCGTGAGAAGATGATCTGGCATCTCTCAATCCTAGTGTGTTTTTCTGAGAAGTTGTTAGGAGGCTTCTTTTCTATGTTCCACAGGTTTCTTCAGGAGGAGCATTACCAAAAACGCCGTGTACAAGTGTAAAAATGGAGGCAACTGTGTGATGGACATGTACATGAGAAGGAAGTGCCAAGAGTGTCGGCTCAGGAAATGCAAAGAGATGGGAATGTTGGCTGAATGTATGTATACAGGTATTCGCATCAAGCAATTAAATACCACTAAAAATCTCTTAAGGAGGCAGACGTCAGGTAATTCACACGATTAGAATGATATGTCATGTATTAAAGAAGGGACTTACTAAGTCATCTAAGTTCTTGAAAAGGGTAATGAACCACTGAAATTGTCCCAACTGTCAGCTAAAGAGCATTTTAGTTACCTGAAAAAAACAGCTGTGTTTTGTTGTTCATTGTTGCAATGAATTATATGTGAAGTGAAATGACATTAATATACAGCTGAAGTAATGTGTTTTAATAAGCTACAAAGAATGACAGTCCAAAAGTTTCCCCCAAGCATGATTTAATATCCTTCTTAATTACTGTTCAATTAGCATAAAAATTCAGTTGTGGGAAAAATTGAGAATGCTTTATAAGGTATAACTGCCTCTGAATTGTCTAAATAGATTTTTAAACCAAGTCATTTTATTAAGATTCCTTTTCTTGGTGCAGCTTTGAACCAATCTGTATAGGTTTACACAGGAAATTAACTACTCCGAGTTTTAATATAATTTGGTCCTTCAATCAGATAAAGAGACACTGTATTAACTGCTGGCTTTGTGAGAAACCGTAATCTTCATCAAAGTTTGGAATGCATGCTAGTATATAACATATTAATTTTTTATTCTGCAAATTCTACAGACCACTCAGATTCTGAGATATGTCCTGTTCCTCCTCAAAACACAAATAGACAAACAAACGTCACCAAGGAGATGATAACATTCAGAGAGGGAATGCCACATGAAATAAAAGCCTCTGGAAGGTGACTCCAGTTCTATTGTTCCCGAACTGCAGGCAACTGGGATGGACCCAAAGAAATAATGCGTACAGGAGGGGGAAAAAAATAGGTCAGTGTAAATAATCCAGCTCTGGATGGATGAAAGTTTTATAGCGGCCGATCACAATCTCCTCTTAGCATCTATGAAACAAGAGACTGCAGTAGGGGCTGCGACTGGAATCCAATCTGGCAGTGGAAACCCTTACTCCATCCTGGGTGGGTCATGTTCCTTATCACTTAAATATGAACCTGTTCCAGCAAAGCCCTGAGGACATTCTTTGTGGCTTCTCCTATAAGAGTCTATAATATTATTTATGAACACAAACTCATGTAGTAACAGATACAGGAGCTTTTGTATGGTCCTATAAAATAAATGCCCTAGACAAAGAAATTCCTGAAACTTAGTTTCACTGACACTGAGAGAATGAGGAAGTTAAATGGGAACATGGGAGATTATTGCACGTTATTCAGTAGTTCCATTTAAGTATAAATTCACAATGATATTGTATGATTATTCAAAAGAAAATTACAAAGTCCCCTTGAGTTATTTTCATCTTTAACTAGATTCTCAATAATTTATACAGTGCTGAAAATTAACAAGACTTAACATTTTCTCTGAAGAATATTGACATCATTTTACCCAACATGCTTACTCTTGTGTTTAATGTGAAATTGAATATACTTCTTATGGTACAGTTATGTAAACATCAGTGAAAAATAATGTTAATTCCATGTTTTGAAGCACTAGCTTTCAAGACCCCGTAGACCAGGAAGAGGGAGTGTGTCATTCATCTTTTTTATTGAATACCTTGCATTTGTACAATGCTTTTCTGTTACAAATTCTATGCATAAAGCTCATTTTAAGAAAGTAACCTGGTGACATTTAATCTACACAAAACTCTGTGGGGTAAATACTATTCCCATTTTACCAATGAAGAAACTGAGACTCACAGAGGATACGTTTCTTGTTCAAGGCCAAATCTTAAAATGTCAGTCGGGCTAGAATTAGCTCTGTGCCAAATGGCAAAGGAGCCCTTCTGAGCCGACTACACCTCAGCAGTCTCGTGATCACACACCCAGCAGGACTTTCCGTGGTTGGTGAAGTCTCTCTTTTTTCAGGCTTGTTAACTGAAATTCAATGTAAATCTAAACGACTGAGGAAAAACGTGAAGCAGCATGCAGATCAGACCGCAGATCAGACCATTAATGAGGACAGTGAAGGACGTGACTTGCGACAAGTGACCTCGACAACTAAGTCATGCAGGGTAATGACGGGCTATGGTATCTGCCAGAGCCAGGGGCCGCTGAGCATCTAGAATATAGTTACATGGGCAGGGGGCTTTCATACTAGGGCCACCGCCACAAGCAGAATTTCATTTCAAGTGTGCATTAAGTGGGTTTCTTCTTTGCTTTTTCATCAAGAGAATAATACCTGCTTCATTGTAAAACTTCAAACATGTATCTTCATCTTCCTGACTCTACTCCATTTCCTGATTCCCAGGGTTAACCAGTGGAATCATTTGGGGTATAAAGCAAACTTTTCAAACTGAGTTTTGATGACCATTTTTTCCCTGTCATTGAGAAGGGAGGCTCAGACTGGAAAGGATGTGGACTCAATAGAGGCTTTTGGATTAGTCATTATCAAGGGATGAAACAGGATGGATACACATTTGCAGGTCAATAAGAAAGGCCTTTCCCACTGAGGTTGCAGATCACTCAGGATATCCTTTGAGCTACTTGGGACAAAATAGAGGAACAGCATCTTGGAGGTTTAGCTAAACACATTGTAATAATGCATAGGACATTTGGAGGAATTTTAATTTGCCATTAGTTGAAAAACCAATAGTCCATGATTGTTCAAGTGACACCCTTCTCAATATTCATTATACTACTGACAGAGAAAACTTCATTCACATTTAGTTTTGCAAATATGTTATTTTGTATTCACTTCAGAAAAAAAATAATTTTATAGAAAAAGTGCAGTTGGCCCTTGAGCAACAGGAGGAAGGGCGGGTGCTAGAGGCGCCCACCCTCATACAGTTGAAATATAACTTCTCAGACTGGCCTTCCAGTAAACTCAGTTCTGCGGATTCAACCAACCGTGGACCCTGTAGTGTAGTAGTACGTTTTTGGTGAAACAAAGTCACATATAAGCAGACCCATGCAGTTCAAATCCCATGTTGTTCAAGGGTCAACTGCACTATTTTGCCATATTGCTTCATCGATAACACTGGTAAAGGAAGCAAAAAGTTGACACAATTATTCACACGCATCAAAAGATGCTACTAAGGGTGAAAGAGGTGTTTGGGTCTGAATTGTCCAGATTGATGACTCACTACTTCAGGGGTTGGCAAACTTTTTTCTGTAAAGGGCCAGATATTTTAGGCCTTGGCCACATGGTCTCTATGAGAACTGCTCAACTCTGCCATGTTACTGCAAAAGCAGCATAGATAATACGTGAACAATGAGTATGGTTATATTGCAATAAGTTTGCAAAACCAGGTGGAGTTGGCTCTTAGGCTGCATTTGGTTGACTCGTGCTCCACATGACCATACTTACATGGATTCTCCATTTTTTATGTGGGAACTTGTCTTTAGTTATGTTTAAACCTTGAACTTTCACTAACTTCTCTGTGAATGGATCCAATAGGCTTCATATTCAGCTTATTATTTATTCACAAGAGATACATGAGAGGAATATTTTGTTATTCCTACTTTATAGATAGGAAAATTAGCTACTTGGTACAAATTTAGTAAAATGTGATATGGCTGGAACAAGGACCCAGAGAAAACAATTACAAATTATAACAGAGCACATAGTTTCTGCCATATTTATGGCTTTTTTCAACAATGTCTGCTAGTGGTTTACTCCAGATGAGTGTACATATAGAAAAAAAATGCCTTATAATCACCCTCCCTAACACCTTTTATTTTTTTGCCAGTGTAGGAGAAAACTGAACTCACCCCAGATCAACAGAATCTTCTTCATTATATTATGGATTCGTATAGCAAGCAGAGGATGCCTCAGGAAATAACAAATAAAATTGTATGTACAATAGCTGAAAATACATGGGCTGAAAGTCAGTATTTGCTATAGAGCTTTTACTACTTTGGAGATGAAATTTTTAAAATATTTTATTTATTTATTTATTTATTCTTGTATTATTTAATTATTTTATTTTGGCAAGGGGAGGGAGGAGGTAATTAGGTTTATTTATTATTATGGAAGAAACTGGGGATTGAACCCAGGACCTCGAGCATCCTAAGCATGCACTCCACCACTTGAGCTATACCCTCCCCAAGATGAAATTTTTATATGATTATCTTACTTTAAAATGATTAGGGCTTAGAATTTATGTTATACATTTAAACTTTTAGCACATTAAACAAAGAGTAAGAAGTCTCATGTCTAGCTTGGTAATAGTAATTGTTCTCCAAGGATCTGAAAAACATGAGCTGGGTCTTAAATTTTATTATCTAAATATGATTCTGTGGTCTAATAATTTTATATTGATTTCTCCTTCTACCTGCTTATTAATCATTTGCTCTTTTTTCTTAAAATTTAGTTAAAAGAAGAATTCAGTGCAGAAGAAAATTTTCTCATTTTAACTGAAATGGCTACCAGTCATGTACAGATTCTCGTAGAATTCACAAAAAAACTGCCAGGTATTTTTACATGTGGTCACTTCCCTGCTACACTGAGCAACATTCTTGTGACATTGAGAGGCAATTCTGTTCATTTTAAAGTGGAAATCATCTCACATCTGCTTTAAATGAATGTGTCTAATTACTATACACATGAAATATTAGAGCCAGACAGGATATTTTAATTGTTTATAATAATTCTCCAAATTGATAGAATAAAAAATTGAGACTTTGCAAAGTTGTCATGTATCCCTTATATTCATTTAGTAAGCATTTTTTGGTACCTACTGTATACTAAATACCTAGCAATTACTTGCAAGGAGAGTGATTAAAGGCTAAAATAAAAGAAAAAAATACACAAAGTGCTGTTTGAACAGAGAGAAATTGGTTCCTAATTATATCTGAGAAAGATGGAGAGGCTTCAGAAAGAATAATATTTGAGTTGGGTTTAAAAGAAAAAAAGGAGTTTTCTGGGTGGTATGAAAGAGAAGGGGCATTCTAAATCAAAAGATTTGCTTGTGAAAATGTAATGAGGCATGAACAAGAATAGGATTATTAGAGATGGGAGAGAAAATTCTGTGTGGCCGTAGTATAATGTCTTGGTTGGACATAACGTAAGTTGGCACCAGACTGATAAGGACCTAAATAAGGAATTTAACCCTTATCCCCTGAATGGTAAAGAGTTTTGGGTGGCTTTTTAAATTTTTTTGATAGAAACATGGTGAGATTTATGCTATAGAGTTTTATTGAGTTTGTATAAGGTGGATTTGAACCAGGAGGTACTGGAGGCATGGAGGATTAGTTAGTATCCTACTGTGCCAGTCCAGGCAGAGGGCTTGAAATAAAGCAACAGCAAGAGGGAGAAGAGGAAACAAAATGAAGAGAGATTCAAAAATTGGTAGAGCTTGGTCAACAATTATAGGTGTGAGATGAGGGAGAGGTACTTATCCATAGTCATTCAGATGGTATCAATATAGAAACAGAAATTCAAGATTATTATCTCCCAGCGCTGCCCCCCCCCAATTCTTTCAAGTCACTTTTTCAATGCTATCTAAGCCATAGATTTAAGTTGTTTCAATTCTTTAAAAATATGTTAGCACATTAGAACCCCATGGTCTAGTAGAGTATAACAAATACCTTGCATAGCAGCATAACACTGTAATACTAAATTACAGAAGGTGACTTCTGATGTAGGATTTTAATTAGACAGTTTAATTTGCCCACATTATGCTATTATTTTATTAAATGTGTCATGAATAGACATAAGCTTAAAAAAAGTCATAAAACATTGGGAGAAAGTTCTTATCATTGAAACAGTAATATTCTCTCATTTCTTTATTAACAATGAAAGAGGAACTTAATTTGTTATATGCTAATTTAGCTGAAGGCAATCTTGATCAAAAATGAGATTGCACAAGGGTGAAAAATGTTGGGGGAAGAATTTGGAAAGAGAGAATATGATGTTCTTGGTTGTTTATGAGAAGTTTTTCAGTTCAAATGGTCAGTTGGTATTGAACCAAGAAACAATTGAAGACAAAAAAAATCTTATTCATAAGGAGGCAGATTCTCTGAAAGCAATGGCAATATCTTACACACCTCTTCATTTCCAGTACCTAACTGAGTTCCTGAGGGAGAGAAAGAGTACAATTAATGCATGTTTAATGAGTAAAGTAGAAGGAAAAAACAAGAAATTCAACGGGAAATAAAAGGCAAAAAAACCTTGGGAAAGAAAAAATTCATTTTAACAATAATTATAGAAATGACAACATTAGCACATATGTAGTAGTAATAGTGATGTATTACCAATGTGAAAGGGTATTCTGTGACTCAGTTGAGTAATTCCTTTCAGTAGTTCGTTGAGCACAACCTTTGCCAGGCACTGTCCAGGGTGCTGGAGACTCAGCAGGGCTCCTGCCCTCAAAGGAGCTCTCAAATTCTCTAAGATAGTGACTTGTAATCCTTTAACATTACTCTCTTCTCTAAACTCCCATCACTATTTAATGCTTTCCTAGGGCATTTAGACCCTGATAGCATTAATTTATCTCATTTGTGTTTGTGTGTGTGTGTGGACATATATGCAAGTGAGTTTGTATTTGTTTCCCATTCATTCATTTAGTCATTGTTAAATTATTCAACAAACAATGCTTGGATACCAATCATATGCCAGGCACTTGGGGTCCAAAAGTGAATAGAACAGGCAAAATCTCTGTTCCCAAGAAGTTTATACTCCAGGAGAGGTGGCAGACAATTAGCAAATAAGCAAATAAACCTATAATATCATGTCAGATAGTGGTAAGTTCTGTGGACAAAAATAAAGCAGGTAGGGACTGATGAGTGCTGAGAAGTACTATTTTAGGTAGGGTCACCCTGAAGAAGACGCTTGCATACAGTGAGGAGTGAGGCATGGAGATAGCTGGGGGTGAGTGTATACCCTGAGGCAAAATCAGACTTGTGTGTTTACAGCAGAGCCAGGGGTCAGAGTGGCTAGAGCACCATGATTGAGGAGGAGGTAATGAAGGAGAAAACAAGGTCAGAGAGGCTGCTGGAGACTGTAGCATATAAGCCTGCATAAGGACTTTGAATTTTTCCAGGCAATGTTATATTCTTTCAGGTCATCAATTCCTTCCCATATTTATCTGATTTTTCCCTATCCTGCATGTGCAGAGCTGAGCTCAAAGCAGATAACCTCAACATGGCCCTCGTTAGGTGGTTTTTTTTTTGGCTGGGGATGGGGGGAATGTTACCCATTCTTCACACTGATTAAAGATTCATGAGTTGGCCAAATATTCATTTAAACCTCTGAGAACATGTAAGTTTTTTTCTGGCTTGTGGATGATTCCATTCTAAGAGTTGACCCTCTCTGATGTGACTAGATGTGACTAAAATAATGGCTCAAAGAGAATCTACTTTGCCTCCACTTTCTGAGGATTATTTCATCTGAATCAGCCTATCTCTGCCATAATATATAAACAAATGTTTGGGAGTGGACTTGATATCCTCTTTTGCCCAGCTTGTTCAACAAATCCTGCTCAGTGAAGATAGAAGTAGCTTCTATTTGGAGGAGTACAATAGATAATTATTGACTCAACTTGACTACTCAATTTTAAAATTACTTTATGGTAATGTTTTATCAATGGGGATGATGGTGATGATGAATACTGTTATGTGACATTCATAGTTTTTGATCCTGATTTGATTATCATTTTATTTCAGGATTTCAGACATTGGACCATGAAGATCAGATTGCTTTGTTGAAAGGATCTGCAGTTGAAGCTATGTTCCTCCGTTCAGCTGAGATTTTCGGTAAGAAACTTCCACCCGGACATGCTGACGTATTGGAAGAAAGAATTCGAAAGAGTGGTAAGTAATTTGGTTAATGGTAAAAAGAATTTGTTCCTGTAAGTAAGAATTTGTACATTCCATGAAGGCAGGCCTCTTGCCCATCTTATGCAGTTATGTGCCCATTGTGACTAGCATGAAGGATGGCACTAAAAAGAAAGGTGTTAAATAGGTGGGACTTAGAGACTTAGTTCAAAAATTCTTGTAATAGCAAAATGCCAAAAATACTCTTCACTATGCTAAGATGAAGGACCAAAGGAGGAATTTTTAAAAATTGAAAATTAGTTTGATTTTTAAAATGGCATAAAGGAGCTGGAATTATTCAGTCTAGAAAAAGATTCATTTATTCAAAACCTTCAGGTATGAATGACTATTAAACTATTATCTATCTCTATTCAGAGGAAAATAAGAAGAAATAATACTAATAGCAACATTTATACATCATTTATTAGGTTTCAGATACTGTTCTAAATACTTTATATTATTTCATCAACTTCTCACAAAAACCTTATTAAATACATACTATTATTATTCCCATTATATAGATGAGAAAACTGAGTAAGAGAGTGGTTAAATAACTCTTCCAAGCAGACAAGAAGTCTGACTTCAGAAGTCATGTGTCTTAATCACTATACTACATTGCTTCTCAAGAGATAAAATGAAATAATTGCATAAATAATATAGAAGAATACTGTGACAGAGAGGGCAAAGAGATAGAATGAATTACCAGGAATTCTGTGTAATTTATCTTGGAGATCCTTAAAATAGAATAAGTTCTTATTTTCCTGAAACCTTTAAAAAAACAACTTTATTGTGGTACAATTTCTGTACAGTAAACTACACATATTTCAGATGTACAGCATGGTGAGTTTTGATAAATGTATACACCTTTGAAACCACCATCACAATCAAGGTACCTAACATTTCCATCACTCTCCAAGAGATGCAACTTTCAAACTCCCAGTTTATCCCTTCTCACCCCCTTTACTCCCTGGTAACCGTAAGTTTGTTCTGAGACTTTTCATATATGGATTGGGAGAGGAGGGAATGAGATGAAACGAAATGACTTTTCAAACTTTTCTTCCTAAAGTATTATCATTCCATAATTGACTGTAACAAGTTTAGATACTTATAAAACCAGTATTTTAGAATAGAGATTTGAAGAAAAGTTTTTCAGCAGTTCTGCAAATGTGATATAGGTAAAATAACTGAAAAATTAAAAATTCCTTTTAAAGCAGCCTTTCCATAGTCATTATGTTTTATCTTCTTAGTTAAAAACTGAAAGCATAAGTAACATCATTGGTAGATTTTTTAAATAGATATTTTAAAAAGACACAGTATTCTTGTATATCCATTGACTTGTTGGTTTAACAAATATTTAAGGGCAAGGTACTATGATGAGGAATCAAGCATGTTCCTTCCCCCAGGAAGCTTACAGTCTAATGGGAAGAGGTGAACTATGTACATAAATAGTTGTAATAAAACATGGAAGAGAAGAAGTGAGAGATGACTTCTACTGGGAGGGCTCTGGAAAGGTTTCATTGGCATTTGAGCTAGGTCTTGAATGATACTTGATGTCCATATCATCAAGGACCAGCAGAGCAAAGGATTGAGACACAAAGGAAAATCAATTAGTTGAATTGTTGAACTTGATCAGATTAAATATTACATTAAGGGAAAAAAATTAAAAATCAGAATCAAATGGTTGAATGCTGGGGTGGTGCTTGAATGTTGGATTAAAGATTTTATTCTTTATCTCCTAAGTAATGGGGAGACATTGAAGAGTTTTGAGCAGGGGAGGAAAAACATCAAATTTATACTTTACAGATCTTGCAGCAATGTTAGGACAAGCCACGATAGGAGACACCTGTTAGGGGGCAAGAAATTTCAAGTACTTGCTGCCAGGAACAAATGGAGAGAAGGGGAAAAATTTGAGAAATATGTTGTTGCAGCTTTTCAGTCTTTGAAAGACAGTATATTGTTGAGAAATGTGGATTCTAGTCCTGGAAAGATTTTATTACTTACCTCTTCTAGGCCTTAATGTTTGTGTGTGTGTGTGTGTGTGTCCGTGTCCAGGAGGCTAGGGGTAAGGTAGAATGATTGAATCAGGTAACCTCCAAGATACCATTCAGTTTTACAAGTCTACTTTTCTTCTCTTAACTGATTCAGTATTTCCGATTGGTTTAGCCAGTCACTCATGAACTATGGAACTGTCCTGGTTTTGTTTTGTTTTTTAATTGTGTTAAGAACACTTCATAGGAGATCTACTCTCTTAACAAAATTTTAAGCATACGACACAGTACTGTTGACTGTAGGTACAATGTTGAACACAGATCTCTAGAGCTTATTCGTCTTGCTTACGTGAAACTTTATGCCTGTTGATTAGGAGGAGGAAATGCAGAGTTACTAATCAACAGGCACTTTATAGGAGATCTTTCTAGTCAACAAACATGCATTGGATACTTTGTGCCAGGCACTGTAAAGATATTGAGGGTGTGGAGATGAGGATGTATGATCTTTTTCTCCAGGAACTCATAGACTAATGGGGAAGGTGTACAAGCAAATGATTCCAAATCAATGTGCAGTGTAACAGCGACTTTAAGGAATGTGTATGTAAATGAAATTGAAGCATAAAGATGGGTCTGCCTTCCTGTGAGTCTACTTGGTGAATAGGAAAAGGCATGCAAAGTTGACAGTTGAATCATGGAGGATAATTAGGAACTTGTCTGACAAAGGTATTCCAAGAGATAAAGCCATTACAATATAGTAGTATAAAAATTGCAAGTGCAAAGATGTAGAGAAATGAGAGTATCCCTGTAGAGGACTCACAAATACCTTGATATTGCTGGAAAATAATATTTGTGGAGCTGAAAATGTAGTAAGTGCTAGACTATTTGGGATATTGAATGCCACAAAAGTAGCTTAATTTAGTTCTTATATAATGGAGAGTCTTGTTAATATTCTGAGCAGATGTGACATGACCATAGCAGTACTATAGAAAGATTTTTCTAGCAGAAATATGAAGGAAGGTTTGGAGGAATTGAGACAAGAAGCAGGTCTCTGTAAAGAGACCAAGGCAACAACTAGGTGAGGAATAATGAGAGTCTTGCAGGTTAAGAATATGTAGTGATCAAAGACCAAAAAAAAACCCTTGTTTAATAACACAAGTTTCAGAACTTGTGATGCCACGAGTTTCAAAAAAGTTCAAAAATGAAATTTTGCAGAATACAATCTGTATAAGTAAACTTGCATGCCTCCAGCTCATAATAAGATACTTTACCCAAACATCAACCACATATGTGACAATGAAAACCATCCAAAGTCACATGCTGCTTTGTATTTTATTATCTATGATGCTTCCATTTATTAATATTTATGAATTTGCTTCTCCCAGTGGATTCTCAGAACATTGCCTCTTCCACACCATACAAAAACCTGATCTTGCAAGATGACCTTTCAGAATAACTTTTTATTTTTATGCAAATGTAGCACATCCTTATTTCTATTGTACGTTTAATTCCAGAGTAATATAACGTCTCAAAGTTATCCTGTTTAAGCCTAGAGAACTCTTTAGAGAATATAGTGTGAAATTTCTTTTCTTGTTCTTCAAATTCATACTCTTTTGTTTACTATTATAAAATCCCTTCATGTACACAAAGATGCTGTCTCCTGAGATACATTTACATAATGAGGGTTACAGTATTTCTTTATGATAATTGAGGCCTCAGAACCTATATCTGACACAACCTGTGGTTGAGTTGTTTCTACATAATTATAGTGCATCAATTTTTTTATTCCTAATGTGATATTATGCAAAATACATTTATAAACTGAAAATTTTTAATAAAAATAGGAATAATCATTTGATACCATAATATATGATAGAACTGAAAAAGGCTTAATAATACTGAATGGGTTCATATTTTTCACATTAAGAAATCAGCAATAACTTCCCACAGACTTGTTCTGTTCACTTCAAAGACAAATAACCTCTGAAATTTATAGTATTTTTTGGCCTTATTTGATTCTCTACAACAGACATAAGTGAAATATTCAATTTAGTAAGTATTTATCAGGATGACAATATATCTTGTGAGTTTGCAATGGTTTGCTGTGACATGCATCATCTTGTTAGTATTTCCAGTGGCCCCTAAAAGTGAGTGCTCTGCTTCTACCTTATAGCTGGGGAAACAGGCTCAGATAGGTTAGATGACCCGCCCAGGGTCATACAGCTAATCAGCCAGGAGATGGACACAATGTTCTACTCAAAGCCCAGAACTGTTTGTATACATTGCACCTGTCACTCGCTAAGATCTAATATTTGCCCAACTATCAGCTCGTAGGGAATTTAAAGACCCAGTAAGACATGGTTCCTGGCTTTTGGTTGAGTGAGAAAACATAAGCAGCAGCTAGTGATTTGAAATTGCTTTTAAGCAAATGATAAAATGAATAGAGACAAGGAGGTTAGAGGAAAGAGAGATTCTTCTTAGAGTGCTGGAGTTGTAGCTAGTTTATGGTAGTAAACTGTATTCTACGTCGAATACTGTGCTTATTTTTTTCCTGCTCTTTAAATATATACGAGTTTGCTGCTTTAACCTTGGCAGCTTGCACAAATGAAAACACTGATAAGAACTAAGTTTCCTTATGAAGGAGATGTACGCTGATGATCAGTTCATCGTCTGTCTTTGAAAGAAAGGTTGGAAATGGACAGAAAAAAATGACTGAAGATTTCTAGGGAAGGTTAATTCTTGAACTTTAGAATTCTCACCACCTCTCGTGTTGCTTTTAAAGGGGTCACATGATAATTTTGTTGCGGAAAAATGTGTTACAGCTCAGTTGTGACAGCAACCTGGATCCAGGCAAGAGACCAAGCAGCACTCGGAGAGTTGGAGAACTCAGGTTTATTACGCCAGCAGGCCCACAGGAGTTAACACTTCAAACTCTGGGTCC